ATTACAGATGAGCAATAGAAATGTGATAAAACCAAGCTGTGCTTCAAACCATCCCCACTCTCCAATTGCCTAAAACAAAGACAATCTTAGAGATTAAGAACCCAAAACTCATGCCAATCTCAACCTAAGCCAGAAGTGAAATAATTTCAACTATGATGAAGGGATTTAAGAAAACATTCTGTTTTAATGTGAGTTTCTACACAATTATCGCCTTTTCTGCATAAATGCAGTGAGTGGAAATGATGAATACATGAAAGAACCATATACTAACTTTAACTCAAAAGTACAGACTAGTAGATAAAGTATTCCCTCACTCGATACTAAAATGTATTAATTTTAAATAGACTAGCATACATTAAGACTTCATAACTTATTTTTCCAATTCCATTTAACTCCACTTTCATCAGAATGTTAAAGAAAAAAAGCTGGGTAAATACAGTATTGAGTTGATAGAAACTAAATGTTCAAACCAGTAAAATGAATCAAAAAGACAGATCACTAACATTTACACTAACACTCTTCTTGATCCAATGAAGAGCCAAAGGTACAAGATCAAAGAGACTTTGGAGATTAGAGATTTAAAAAAATAATCCTTTTGACTTAAAGAATGTTAGTAAACAAAATGATGCAAAAATCAAGATATATGCCAACACATTTCTCAAGCTTGCTTTTAGAACCTAGCATCTTACCTTGAAATTCTCTTGGTACTAATTTACAGATGGAAGGATTTTGTTGCAGTCTACAAATCTTGATTAGAGCGGGTAATACCAACACTGATATCACATTAAGTTTTCGTAAACCAGTGATTTTTGTTAGAAATAACCTGTAAACAAAAAAGAGAACTTCAATGACAAGAATAATTGCTCTAATACAATAAAAAATATATGCAACTTAAAAATGAAGAAATCTCCAAATCATAAAGGAATAAAAAACAATGTAAAGATACACCTAAATGAATAAAACCAAACGGAAGACTGTAACCATCTCAAGACAAACACCACCGGCTTTTCTATCACTCAACATTTAAGGAGGAAAAACCACAGACAAGGTAGAACAAAACAGCATCATGACCACAAGCTCCCACACTACTCATTGCACACAACAAAGAAATAGAAAAAAAAAAAGCTCCAAAAACAAAAGAAAGAAAGAAAAGAACAGAAGAGAAGAAGGCTCCTGCTCAAAGAATAAAAGCCAAGAGACAGGCCCAAGACATACAGAAGTCATCACAGAATGTCACACAACATGAGAATGAATGGAAGTGTGACGGGATTTCTGAAAAGAAAAAGTGAGTGGCATGAAATAATTAATTCCCATTAGATGGACAAGCCACAAATGGAGGAAGGGAGGTAGGCATTTTGCGCTGCAGTAAACACTACCTGAGACAGCAGTATTTCATACTGGCATGTCTGGGTTTGAGTCCCAGCTTCACTCCAGCCCTTAGTACGACAGACCCTGGGGAGCAGCAGCTGATGACTGCCACCCACATGGGAGACCCAGGTTGGGTTCTGTCTTCCCAGTAACAACTGTTGCAGGCATCCACAGAGTGAACCAGCAAATGCGAGAAACAAGAAGAAAATTGGACTAAAACAACCAGGAGGAACTTAGTGAAGAACATAAAAAAAAGATAGGTTTGTTGGGTGAAATTGAGCCCAAGGTGAAAAGAGACCTTCCAAGTCTGACAAGTTGGGATTTACACACAGATAGCCATTAAAAACTTCTAAACAGATTAAAGGCCACTAGCTGCAAAAAAAAAGGTTTTTATATCCATTATAAAGCAGTCTTAATAAAAAGAAGCAATAACCATACTCTCCAAAGTTAAGGACAGTCACATTAAAAAGAAAAAAAAAAAAAGGCAATGAACGGCTGGATGTCTCCTCCAGCCCCATCTGGCGTGGCACAAGTTCAGCATACCCTTCCACTGTGCTCTACAAAGGCTCCACAAGACAAAACAACAGCAAAAATAATCAGTAACAGTAATGACAGTGCAAGTATAGAAGAGGAGAAAAAAACTCTTAGCAAAAATCTGAACGTATTTTGTGATAACCTATAGTCTGATATAAAAAAAAAATTGATGTCACTGAATCTTTTTTCTGGAAGGAACTGGCAAAAACGATGAAGTGAAAACACACTCCACTTAGGTATTATGTAGCATTTGAGACGCTTACCTTTCATCTGTTAGCACCACCTCTGTCTTCTTGCCAAACTGAATTCACGCTCTTGTCCCATTTCCATCTAAGTCAAGTAAAAACAAATAGGAGAAAGGGATGAGAGCCACAACTGTAAATCTTCTGAATCAGTTAACACTTCAGATTTATACTCTATTTGCATAACTTATTAAACATGAGAAACAATTATGTATAATTTTAGTCTTTTTCCATCCGAAAGAGGCACTAGTCATAATCTCCAAATTTCTGTATTAGTCTAAAAAGAAGCTTCCATTAGTTAATAGATCAGAAAGACTTAGGAAAAAAAAACTCAAAATATATTGATGTTGATCGAAACAATCGAGTCAAAATAAAAGATTATCAGTTACTTTATGCTATTATTTTGAGACTAAGTAACTAAGGAACCAGGGTACTTCTTCTCAAATGGAACCTTGCCACACTAATGTAGATCTTGTTCTAAGCCACGAGAGAATTGCAATTATGTAGCGTAAAAAGTTGCCCACATTGTAGCAAAGGTGCTTAGTACAGTAACAAAGTCTCCCATTTCCCACATTAGGATGCCTGAGTGTAGAGATCAGCTCTTCTTCCAATTCTAGCTTCCTAATGAGCAACCCAGGGAGACAGGTGGATGGTGCCAGGACTCAGGTCCCTGAGAATAAAGGAAACGGGGACCGAGCTGTGGGCTCCTGGCTTTGGTCTTGCCCAGTCCTGATTCTCGTGGGCATTTGGGGAGCGAACCAGCAAAATGGAAGAGGTCAGTCTTTCAAATGAAATTAAGTATAAATTTAATTATACTGAATCATGAATTATATAAGCTAATACATTGGCTAATTTCAAAAAATCTCCTGTCTATAGGGGAGACCCCCTTTGATCCAATATTAAGCGATTATGTGTGTGCGCGTGCGTGGGTGTGTGTGAGGTTTTGTTTCCCTAGCACATAAGTTCCTTGTCGGGCCTGGCACTGTGGCCTAGCATCTAAGGTCCTCACCTTGAACGCGCTGGGATCCCATATGGGCTCCAGCAGCCCTGCTTCCCATCCAGCTCCCTGCTTGTAGCCTGGGAAGGCAGTCAAGGACGGCCCAAAGCTTTGGGACCCTGCAACCGCCTGGGAGACCTGGGGGAGGTTCCTGGTTCCCAGCTTCGGATGGGCGCAGCACCAGCGGTTGTGGCTCACTTGGGGAGTGAATCATCGGATGGAAGATCTTCCTCTCTGTCTCTCCTCCTCTCTGTATATCTGACTTTGTCATAAAAAACAAATAAATCTTTAAAAAAAAATAAGTTCCTTGTGAAGCAAAACTATTACCTATATTTTTACATGGTCTCAAAGGCCTTCATCACACTGCAGAACAAATACACTTTACTAGCGTCATGACATTTGGTACTGGAGCCACAACATTTCGTGGACTAAGGCAGACTGCTGCTTCCAGTCCTGCTCAAATTCACTGCTTACACAAGCCCAGTCAAGCCACTGAAAACCAGCCAGTTTTCCTGCCGCTGAAGTGGTGAAAGTGAGGATTAAGAAAGCTTACATTCAATACAGAAGTACTTGGCATATAGTAGGCGCTCCGTAAATGCTCGGTAAAAGTACTATGTGGGTGTTTAATAAGGTCTGTCCCCTTACTGTAATTTTAAAACTTCCTATGACAGGCACAGAGAGAGGAGAAAGCTCCCAACTGCTAGTCCACTCCCCCCAAAGCATGCAACAGCTGGTGCTCTGCAGGCGGAAGTCAGGGGCGGGAACTGAAGGCAGGTGTCCCAGGTGCAGAGCAGGGGCCCAAGAACTTAGCTGATGGCCTTCTGCTTCCCTGCGGGGATGCACACGAGAGGCAGAGCCAAGACTTAACACCCACGCTCTCCCCCATGTGGATGGCAGGACCCCAGGCAGGCCAAATGCCTTTCCTTAAATTTACTTCTTGCAAATAATAGGGGGAAAAAATTACTGGCCGTTATCAGCACTTAAGAGTTGATTTTATGTTAAGTACTCCTAGTAGCACAACTCCTTTTCCAGAAGGATTAAGCTGCTGTGCAAATGGGATACCTGAAACCCGATGAAGAAATAAGACATCTGGCTCCAGGTCCTAAGGCTGCTTCAGGAATTCTCCAGAGGAGTTCAGAAGGACTCAGTGATCATTCTGAGGCCAAACAGTGGGGTTCTGAGCACGTCACAAAGCCCAGTATTTTCTCTTTTTTTCCCCCCTCCTAAGACCCCGCTCCGTGTGCCTCCCTTGCCCTCCGAAGGCCACTAACCCCGCCAGGCTCTGCTCCGAGGAGCACCTCAAACTTCGGACTCGGGCCGGATCCTCGCGTCGCCGGAGCGCGACAACGCGCGCGGGCAAGACGAGCAGACAGGCCGGAGCCGTGCTGAGGGAAGGTGTCCCGAGGGGCCTCCTCACGTCCACGTCGCACCTTGGACGGCGCCGCCCGAGGCCCCGCAGGGACCCGCCCGCCCGGCTGGGGTGACACACCCGCCGCCACTGCATCGCCGCCCGCTCCGCGCCCGCCGCCACTCCCTCCTCGCTCTAAAGTCCCATGTCAACCACCGACAGACTCCAAACTCTGCAAAAGCGACCAAGACCCGAACTCACCAGGGACAGATGTGGCTGTACTACACTCCCGTCCCACTTCACCCCTCCCAAAAGAAGGTCTCGAGATTGAGGCGAGAGCGCATGCGCATTTCCCAGGCCTTGCCCACATGACAGGACGTGCCGGGTGGCCAGAGTGGAGGCAATAGTCCGCCCATACGCATGCGCAACTCTAAGCCTGACGGGAGTTGTAGTTCTGTCGCCGCCGCTCCGGAGTTAACTGCAGTATGTAGACGCCAGCTGCCCGCTCCGGGACCAATTAGTGGGTGTCCCTGCCCTCTTCTCTCCTGCCAGGAAGAGGAGGCAGGCCCGTCGGCCGCCTGTCAGAACCGCGCCCCGCGATGCTGCTGCGGCTGCTGTGGGTGTCGGTGGCTGCAGCCTCGGCGCTGGCGGCCCCGGCAAGTGGGCAGAGGCGGGGAGCCGGCCAAGCACCCAACGTGGTGCTGGTCGTGAGCGACTCCTTCGTAAGTACCCGGAAGGCAGGAAGCGGGCAGCAGAGTCTGCGAGATCCCGGGCTACACTTGTACACCGCACTGGTGAAAGAGGAAATGAAAAGAGAAGCCTATTTTGGTGCAAAAAGTATTGAAACCCATGCATGTTTTTTCATAATGCATATTTCGCATGGGGCTCGTCGGAGACCTTTCCTATGAGTGGATTTCAACATTTTTTTTTTTGCACCAAAACTCAGCCTACGTTTTCATTTCGCTTTCCATGAACAGATGCCATTCTCGTGGGGTTTTTTTTAATGCTATCCTATAATGAGCATGAAGCCCGCCTTGCACTAATGGCAAGGGTTCCAAGCACTTGCCACATACCAGGGTGCCCATCGATGGGAAGCTAGCTAAGAAGCAGGGTTGGGACTCAACCCCTGACACTCTAGTACGGGATGTGACATCCCAAATAGTCCTAACCCCTGTGTGGAATGCTCACCCCACGGAGAATGTTCTTAATTCCTACGTTGATTTGCCTTTCTCTTGATTAACCTAAAATGATTGAAGTTACATCGTCTGGATTTGCCTAGAAGATTTGTTGAAGGTATTACTTAGACGATCTTTAAATTTAGAGAGTGGGCAGTGTTGGAAATGAACAAGAAAGATAGGAAAGTGGTCCCGAAAAGAAAGGGAAGTGAAATAAAGTGGGTTGTGCAGAGGGAGAAGTTACTTTTATTGTTCTTTTTTTAAAAAAGATTTAATATTTTTATTGCTAAGTCAAATACACAGAGAGAGGAGGAGAGACAGAGAGGAAGATCTTCCATCCGATGATTCACTTCCTATCTGACCACAACTGCCAGAGCTGGCCAATCCGAAGCCAGGAGCCTCCCCCAGGTCTCCCACACAGGTGCAGGGTACCAAGGCTTTCCGCCATCCTGGAATGCTTTCCCAGGCCACAAGCAGGGAGCTGGATGGGAAGCAGGGCTGCCAGGATTAGAACTTGCGCCCCTAAGAAATCCCAGCGCATTCCAGGCAAGGTCTTAGCCACTAGACCACCGTGCTGGGCCCCTTTACTGTTCTTTATGGGCAGTTCTCCAGCTCTGTGAACCTACACAGCTCTTTCCAGCTGGGGTGAGCTCAACAGCCTGCATACCCTACTGCTGGATGGCACAGGCATGGGGCATGACTTTGGCAAGGCAGCTCTTCTCAGCATGCTCGTTTATTCCTAAAAGGACATCACAGATTTCTAGAAATTTCCAAAGACTTTTCCAAAATGGTTCAAGTGTCAGAGCCAAATAATATAATTATTTGCCTCATCTAAACATATCCCTGTTTGTGTGCATGTGCCCATGTATTAAAGTGTTTGAAAATAGGATGACAATATAATGACAAATAATAAAAGTCCCGAATGCAGTTTACAGCTTCTTTGTAGTTTTTGATTTTAGCTATTTTCAAATTGATAATCAAGATATTCATATTTAAAATAATTTGTAATAATTCATCTCTCTATAACAATTTGGTATACAGTAAGATAAATCATGGCATACAGGATTTATCACTTCTGCAGCTCTAGCAAGCTAAGCAGTTGAGCCAATAAATTATTAAAATCAGGGCCCAGTACAATAATCTTGCGGATAAAATCCTCAACTTGTACACACTGGGATCCCTTATGGGTGCCAGTTCTAATCCCAGCAGCTCCACTTCCCATCCAGCTCCCTGCCTGTGGCCTGGGAAAGCAGCTGAGGATGGCCCAAAGCCTTGAGACCCTGTACCCGCGTGGGAGATCAGGAAGAAGCTCCTAGCTCAGCTCAGCTCAGCTCCAGCCTTTGTGGCCACTTGGAAGGTGAACTAATAGATGGAGCATCTTTCTCTTCTCTCTTTCTCTCTGTAAAATCTGATCTGCCTTTCTAATAAAATAAATAAAAATCTTCAAAAAATATATAGTCAATGCTAAATTTCTCTGTTCTAGGACGGAAGGTTAACATTTCATCCAGGAAGTCAGGTGTTGAAACTTCCTTTTATCAATTTCATGAAAAAACATGGCACTTCCTTTCTAAATGCATACACCAACTCTCCAATCTGTTGTCCATCACGAGCAGGTATGAATATACTTATTAACCCTAGAAAATGGCTACATGTTGAAGAATGTGTTCACAGTTTAAAGTATTAAAACCCCAAAGAGAATAGGAGGAGGGAAAAAAGGGAGTGAAAAGGGAAATGCCATTGTGTTCTTAGAATTGTATCTACACATACACAGAGAAAAAGAATTGAATACAAATCACATTGAATCTGTTACATGTTAATTAAAAATTAAAATAAAAAACAAAGCAAACAAAAATAAAAGATTATAACCAAAAATAGGATAGTGATTCATATTTGGAACCTAATTAAAATTCTAAAATCAGAGATAATGTATTTTTTTAAGATTTATTTTATTTTTATTGGTAAGTCAGATATACAGAGAGGAGGAAAGAAAGAAAGATCTTCTGTCCCCTGATTCACTCCCCAAGCAGCCAAAACAGCTGGAGTTGAGCCAGTCTGAAACCAGGAGCCCAGAGCCTTCTCTGGGTCTCCCATGCAGGTGCAAACTCCCAAGGCTTTGGGCCATCCTCAACTGCTTTCCCAGGCCACAAGCAGAGAGCTGGATGGCAAGCGGGGCTGCCAGGATTAGAACTGGCACCCTTACAGGATTCCAGCACGTGCAAGGCAAGGTGTGTATTGGTGTTATTAGAATAGGTATCTTGTCATTTAGAATGGTGTCTATTGGGTGTCAATGTTCCCTCTTGTAATTACTGGTGACTAAGAAAATTTTTACTATGGGAGCAAGGGAGGAAGAACTCAGACTTACTAGATTTGTTTCCAACAAATTGGTTCAGTAAAAGTATAGGAAGAACTGTCTGGAACATATTATATGCCACAGAGTAGCTGGAGAGAGCTTCTCCTGTTCCAGTTTATCTGGGTCTTTCCACAGCGTGTCAGATCACACTATTCCTTTGTCTTCCATGGCAGTTCACATCTATCCAAAATCAGAATTATTAGGTCAAGCACCGAAGACAGGTTGTGGATCTTACTCCAAAGCATTAGCTCATAGCAGATGATGCTCCCAGTATTGTCTTACTAGTTAAAGCAAATTGCTAACCTTTGTTTTAATCACAATTTGTTTCTCCCCACAGCCATGTGGAGTGGGCTCTTCACTCACTTAACAGAATCTTGGAATAATTTTAAGGGTCTAGATCCAAATTATACAACATGGATGGATATTATGGAGAAGCATGGCTACCGAACACAGAAATTTGGGAAGCTGGACTATACTTCAGGACATCACTCACTTAGGTAAATTATTAAGCATACGCAGAGACTCTTTATTTTGTGTTTCCCCACAGAGGGTGAAAGTAAATCTCTTAATCCTTGGTGCTAATTTGGTTAAAACTCCAGCCTTCTTTAATCTTCTTAAAATATTAAAGTTGCTAATCTACTGGTAATTTTGTTTCTTTTAAACTTTGAAGATCTTGAAATAGTGTTTGTAACATGTTTAACCCATGATTCAATGTAATGAAGTTTCCATTTTATCAGGGCTATTTTATTCTTCCTTTTACAGTCTGTTCTTTAAACCACCATGTTCTCCGCACCTGCCTTTTCCAATTCTCTCCAACATAAGCCTGTTGAACACTGTTTTTCCTTCCATTTCACTGACTCCTCAAAAACCAGACATGGTGGTTAATATGCAAGGTCTAGAAACAGATTTCCTACTTTTAAATACTAGTTTCTCTTTTACTACTAACCTCATAGGTGTGTACCATGTAAGCTAACTGAACTTTATATCTTTTCTTTGTTACAACTATTACATGAAATGTGTGTGCAAGTTAAGTAGTGCAGCAGGCCTGAGACTTGTCCGTGGAAAGGCTGGCTTGCAAGGGTGGGCCTTGGCTGGCTCCCAGGAGCTTGGTTGGATTCTGAGTGTTGCCACCATTGCCCACCTGATGAGGGAGCCTTGCCGTGTTCCTGGACTGCTTCTGCTCTGTGCCTGGTGCTGGACACCTGCTGCCTTTGGGAATCTGGAATGTGGATATGTGCTAGGCAGGATGTTCCTCCATGATCCACACCGGATAAAAATTTGGCTACTGAGCATCTGATGAGTGAAGACAGCATTTCACAGGTATGATCTCAATCTTATGCTGGAAGGATTAGTTACATGTGTCCTCTGCAGCTGCACTTGAAAGCTCGAATCCAATTTCCTCTGGACTCAGCCTGCCACCCACTTTTTCCCTTTGCCACTTCACTGTGGATGCCGTAACTGATACATCTCTTTTTGTTTGTTTTTCTTTAAATTTACTTTGCAATCACAAGCTTAACTCTCCACTAAATAAGGACCTCAACAAGTAGTAAGGACAGAACATATTCCTCAAGTGTCTAGATAATGGCCATGAACAATAATGAAATCTCAAAAGGTCAATTTCACTCTTGTATGTTACTTTTTCTGTGTGCTCTGCATATTCAGTACCACCAATCAGGAAAAGCCTGCTATTTGTCTTTTGGGTACTGGCTTAAGCCACTGAGCATAATGATCTTCAGTCATATCCATTTTGTTGCCAGAGATTTTTATTCTTTTTTGCAGCTGAGTAGTACACCATTGCTTATATATAGCACAATTTCTTCATCTGCTCATCATATGATAGACATCTGGGTTGATTGCGTATTTTAGTAGCTATAGGAGTCATCACAATTATGAGCTCAAGTCTTTTAATTCTCTTGTCTGTCTTTCCAGCACATCAAATGATGGTCTTCTTGTACCAGTCTGGGTATGCCAGTCACATCCATGAGCCCCTTACTGTACATAATATACAGCACCATACTGGGTTCTCTGAGGCTCAACATTTGTTTCTCCCAGAGAACTGTCAAACAGATATTGATAATGCTATTCATAAAAAATACCACATTCCAACATTAAAGCCATGGGAAATTACTTATTTACTAATAACCCTAATTTCATCTAATGTTTCTAAAACTAGATGATTTTAAAAGTTCTTTCACTCTGAAATTCTTTAACTATGATGACAGTGCAATTAAGTGGTTTATAAATTCCTGACATCCACCTGCCCCTTTTACCTCACAGAGTTTATGCATATAAGAAGCTTAAGTTCATATTTGTTATATCTTCTCATCAGTTGTTTAAAAAAATCGTACTTAACACATACAATATTTTTACCATTTTTGCTTTCTTATGAGTCTGTTTTGCCAGTGTATTCCCAATACCTACAATGGTAGTTGTTAATCAAAGACAGGGTGGGTGCCCCTTCCTCCAAAGGACATTTGGCAAAGTCTGGAGGCATTTGTCCTGACACTATGGAAGGCTCCTGCTAGTGTCTAGAGAGCAGAGTTGCTGCTAAATGGCCTGCAGCACACAGGTGGAGACCACCTGAGGAGAACAACCAAGCCTCAGTGTCAAAAGTACAGAGACTGAGAAGCCAAGTGTAGAATGATATGATTGATTGCTCTCACCAGCATGCTCTCAGAAATGTCACACTTAAAGCACTTGAATGCACTTTAAATACTCTTTGCTCTTCTATATCCTAAGCAATCAGACTGACGCTTGGCCCCAACATGGAAATCAGATCCATCGTAAAGGGGCCAGCATTGTGCCAGAGCAAGTTAAGCCACTGATTGGAATGCTCACATCTCAGATGAGAGTAGCAGAACTGGAGTCCCAGCTGCTCCGCTTCTGATCCAGCTTCCTGCTGACATACCCGGGAAGGCAACAGATGATGGTCCAAGTACTTGGGCCCCTGCTGGAAACCAAGATGGAGTTCCTGGATCCTGACTTCTTCCTGGCTGAGACCTGGCTATTATAGCCAATGAGGTGTGAACTAGTGGATGGAAGATTTCTCTGTCTCTCCTCTATCATTCTGCCTTTCAAATAAATCAACTAAAAAAAACTCCATTTGACATTACTATGTCAAGCACGATATTAACTTATAGGTATACAAAATTAGGAGATACCTAATTTTATATAGAAAATTTTTAACAGCACAATTTTTTTTAATTGGAAATGCAAGTCATATTTGTAGAAAAGAGAGAAAGATCTTCCACCCACTGGTTCACTCCCCAAATGACCATCAGAGCCAGAGCTGAGCCTATCCGAAGTCAGGAGTCAGTAGCCTCCTTCAGGTCTCCCATGTGGGTATAGGATCCCAAGGCTTTGGGCCATCCTCTACTGCTTCCCCAAGCCACAAGCAGGAAACTGGATAGGAAGTGGAGCAGCCAGGACAGGAACTCGCACCCCATATGTGATCCTGGTGCTTGTAAGGTGAGGCTTTAGCCATTAAGCCATTGTACTGGGTCCCAAACATCAGTACAATTTAATATTAAGTAGTGTTTTTTAAAATGTTATGACTAAACTATGATCCTTATTTAAGTAAAAAATATAACATCAAGTATTTGTAGTATCTGTTCAGCTAGTGTTTACTGAGCCACCTCCTGTGTGCCAGACACTGTTTTTGATGGTGTGAATATAACAGTAATCAAAACATAAAATTCTCTAATGACATGCCACTTACATTCTAATGCTACCAAAATGAATCGAAACAAACAGCTGCCTTGTTTTTCGCTACTGAAAATCTAAAACCTAAAATCAAATCCCCCAGCATTTCATCTTACCCTTGCAATTACTTTATGTTCTCAGCTCCTGGAGCTTGTTGTTCCTTTGAGCCAAGTCACGACAGGCAATTTTAAATCCTCTGAAACAAATGATGAAATAAAAAGGCCCGCTTCCAAAACAAGAGACTTGCTATCGATAGCCTTGAGCTGTGCCTCGTGGCAGACAGCAAAGGAGAGACAAAGCGTGGGTTGCCGACACAACTCCTCCTGGTCACCTATCGAGCCTCCATGCCACCAGCGCAGTTCTAAAGAGATGAGGCAGGAACAGCTGGACTTAGAGCAGAGACCCTGGAGTCCTCTCCCAAAGCCTCGCCCTGTGCAGCCTCATAGGCCTCTGTTGATCTTACCCCTATCCACAGTCACTTTGTAATGTAAGATATAATTGGTAACTTTTTTATATCTCCCCTTCTTATTGTCATGATTGATATTTAGTATCTAGGAATAGCCAGCATTATTCTGACTCCCTTCTCAGCATGATTTTTGATGATAGTAGGAGAGCTTGCACCATTTTTGTTTGGTTTGGTTAACCAGAGCAGCCCCTGGGGGCATCTGTGGATTGCTTTTAACTGCAATTCTTAACATCGGTTTCTCAAAACAGTCCAGTGACAATTCTGAGCCTGCAGCCTCTCATTCCAATTCTTGGATTCTTTTTTTCATTACCTACTGAGATTTAAAATAAATTGAGTTCAGCTGTGTAAAATGAAGTGTCTCACCTACTTCTGCATCTTACAAGCGATTTTTTAAAATTGTATCACAGTTTGAACAACTTTTTCTTAATCTCATCCTTTTCTTTTTTTTCTTTAATTTGAGAGGCAGAGATACCCCTGTGCTTTCAACAGCTGGAGCTGAGCCAGGATCCAGAGAGGAGCTGAGCCAGGTCCCCCACATAGGTGTCAGGAATCCAATGACTTGAGCCAGCACTGCTGCCAGGGTCTACATTATAAAATATCAAATCAGGGGCTTGGTGCAATAGGCTAGCAGCTAAAGTTCTCACCTTGAACGCACCAGGATCCCAGATGGGCGCTGGTTCTAATCCTGGAAGCTCCACTTTCTATCCAGCTCCCTGCTTGTGGCCTGGGAAAACAGTCAAGGGTGACCCAAAGCCTTGAGACCCTGCACCCACGTGGGAGACCCAGAGGAGGCTCCTGGCTCCTGGCTTTGGATCAGCTTGGCTCCGGTCATTGTGGCCACTTGGGAAGTTAATCAGTGGATGCAAGAGCTTTCTCTCTATCTCTTCTCCTCTGTAAAACTGCCTTTCCAATAAAAAAATAAATATTAAAAAAAATCAAATCAGGGGCAGTCAGCATGATGGTGTAGCACACTAATCCTTGGCCTGTGGCACCAGCATCCCATACAGGTGCCGGTTCGTGTCGTGGCTACTGCACTTCTCATCCGATCCCCTGCTTGTGGCGTGGGAGGACAGTGGAGGATGGCCCTTGGTCCCTGAACCTGTGTGGGAGATATGGAGCAAACAGATGGAAGGTCTTTCTCTATGTCTCTACCTCTCTCTTGGTGTGTAACTCTTTCCAAAAAAATGAAATAAACCTTTTAAAATATAGAGTAAGGAAGATTATGGTAATAATAAATTTGTTCAGAACAGATTGGAGAAACAGCTTTCTATGACCTTAAAAAGAGATCTAGTGTGGGCAGTTGGAAGACTATATAGGATGGAATTTAGACTTTAATGTTGGCCTATAAATAAATCTGAAAGTGTCTGTTTCATGGACCAGAACATTTAATTTTTATAATCAAACCTGGATGAGACTTGAATTCCTATGGGAATTGCATCAGATGGTATTTCTATGAAATTTTGAAAGCTAATAATCAGTTATGATTACTGAAGAACAAAATGAAAAATGTGAAATATTGAGAAACCAAGCATTCAGCTATGAAATATGCATAATTATGAATTTTTGAATTTTAAAGTATCTTTAACCTTTTACTCCCCCAACTTGAAATTCTTGTAATAGCAGCTGCTTATACTCAGAAAATCATGTATTTTTTTACTAGAATTTTCATTGCTATGCATAGTACTTTCTTTTGTGTGTGTGAAAATTTTAAGTATAATCTAGTCTTTTCTAAATCTGAAGGTATGCCTTCTTATGCCTTCTTTTGTAAAGTTAATTTACTTATTTATCTGAAAAAGCAGTGACAGAGGAAGAGACACAGGGAAAGAGAGAGAGATCTCTTTCAATTGCTGGTTCACTCCCCAGATGCCTGCAACAGCCAGGATTGTGCCACGCCAAAGCCAGGAATGAGTAGTTCCATCCAGTCTGCCACATCAGCAGCAGGAATCCAAGTCCTGAGCCACCACGCACTGCCTCCCCAGCACACCGGCAGGAAGCTGGACCTGAAGCAGAGGCAAGATTCAGCCCCAGGCACTGCTGCATGGGGAGCGCACATGCTCCATATGACACTTTAATCCCTGTGCTACAATAGTGGCCTCAAAAGTATGCCTTTTATAAACCACAGTCTTCTCCTCACACCTTTTCTAGACATTTAAAAGTACCCTTTCCCCTAAAGAACATGACAAACCTGTTTTGTTAGACTGTTAAAGTTACTTGTAGGCATTAGGTCTTAAAAGGAAAAATTGGGCCTGGTATGATGGCCCAGTGGTTAAATCCTCATGTTGCAAGTGCAGGGATCCCATATGGGCACCAGTTTGTGTCCCAGCTGTCCTACTTCCCATCCAGCTTCTTGCTTATGGCCTGGAAAAGCAGTAGAGAATGGCTCAAAGCCTTGGGACCCTGCATCTGTGTGGGAGACAGAGAAGGCTCCTAGCTTCAGGTCAGCTCAGCCCTGACCATTGTGGCCATCTGGGGAGTGAACAAGCAGATGGAAGTGAAGATCTTCTTCTGTCTTTATTTCTCTCTGTAAATCTCTGACCTGCCTTTTCAACCTATATGTGAAATATGTACATTATTAATACTGTGATTATGGCATCAGTAAAATTTATTATCTAATTTATTATTACTGTTCAGTGGAGAGCAATCATAATTTTCATATCTATAAAGAAATCCATGAGTAAAAAAGATTGAGGAGTAGAAGCTACTATAATTCCATAAAAAAGATAGTTTGAACTAATAACATTAATGATTAAAATAAGATGTATAGTGAACACATAATAAAGTGTATGTTGAACAGTGATGTTCCAACCTGAGTTTTTCAGCATTCTGTGACTCATTCAACTAAAACAGACTGTTTCCATGAGTGATCATACACAGGGAAGGCAGCTAACAGCCTTGCATGTCTGTATAAAAATAGTATTGTTTCTCACAACTTTGAGAAAAGAACATTTAATGAAGATGAGTATGTGTGTGTACTCTCACATTTGTATTAGGCCACGACTAAAATTTACAAGGCCACTTTTCAGAACTGGATTAGCCAATTCAGTCATTACACCAGGCCCAAGCTCTTTTTAATAGTCTGATTAAAAGTATAATCTTAATGTTCTTCACTAAACACATAAAAATAGAATAGAAAGAAAGAAGTTCAAAATATCCCCCAGTCAGGCCCAGCATGATAGCCTAGTGACTAAAGTCCTCGCCTTGCATGTGCCATGGTCCCTTATGGGTGCTGGATCATATTCCAGCTGCTCCACTTCCCTTCCAGCTCTGCGTTTGTGGCCTGGGAAAGCAGTAGAGGACGGCCCAAAGCCTTGGGACCCTGCACTTGTGTGGGAGACCCAGAAGAAGCTCCTGGCTCCTGGTTTGGATCAGCTCAGCTCTAGCTGTTACGGCCACTTGGGGAGTGAACCAGTGGATGGAAGATCTTTCTCTCTCTCTCCTCTCTGTAAAACTGCCTTACCAATATATATACATATATATCCCCAGTGATCTGTTAGAAAGCTTACATTTGAAGGAAATTGTAGCCATTACTCATGGAGGAAAAAAGAAAATGCTTAGACAAGGAAGTAGGGTGGATAGAGCTCTGAGTTCCTGGCTTTGGCCTCACCCAGCCCTGCTCCTGCAGCCATCTGGGGGGATGGTGAACCAACAGATAGAAGAGTTTTCTCTCTTCTGCTCTCTTTATTTCAAATAAAAATAAGTTTTAAAAAAAGATTGAGGGACTTGAATTAATTCATTTAGCCTGTGAATCCTCTAATAAAAAGAAGGTGTCACTCATTTACAATTGAGTAAGAAATTAACTTAGGTAACTTTTATCATAGTGAAAATGGTTCTTTCAATGAGGAAAAAAAAAATAGCTGGAAACAATGTAATACCTGAGATTGCAGAACTACAAAGTATCCAAGAGAAGTGGGATCTTCAAAATATAAACATTTAGAAACAAAATGAGATTGCGGTGGCTTTGGTTAGAAACATTGTTTTCTTCTAAGGGGAAAGGTTAGAAAAGAAACATTCTTGTAAGAAAAGGTGGTCCTGCCGTGCAGGAGGGAGACCTGGACTGAGTTCCTGGCTCCAGCTTAAATTATATAATTTTAAAATGAACGCGTTTTCACACCATTTTGATCACCTCACAGTACCCCTGTCTTCTTCCTTCAGTAATCGTGTGGAAGCCTGGACAAGAGATGTCGCTTTCTTACTCAGACAGGAAGGCAGGCCCATGGTTAACCTCATCGCTAACAAGACTAAAGTAAGAGTGATGGAAAAGGACTGGAAGGCAACAGACAGAGCCATAGACTGGTTAAGAAGGGAGGCTGTCAACCACACCGACCCCTTCATTCTTTACCTGGGCTTGAATTTACCACACCCTTACCCTTCGCCATCCTCAGGAGAAAATTTTGGAGCTTCAACATTTCGCACATCCCTTTATTGGCTTGAAAAAGTAAGTGTGGTATGTGTGCTCCAACGTGCAGGTTACCGTGTGTGTGTGTGTGTGTGTGTGTTTCTGGTATGAGTTCATTTCTTTATTATCACTTTTAAAGAAAATCTAAAACTTTTATATTGAAAGTTGCTCAATAGCAGGTTTGGTTAAAGTGGCAGTTTTAGAAAACTAAAATAAATGTTAAACACAGACACATGCTTCTGAGCCAACTAAAATGTGTGTGATGTATCTAGGGAGTGAAGCTGAAAGCCATTCATTCGGTAAATGGGGATTCCTTGCTATGCAGTCTTTCGTACCAGGGAAAGCAGGGGGAGATTGCCCGAGTACTTGGATCTCTACACTTATGTGGGAGATCCTGAAGAAGCTCCTGACTCCTGGCCATTTGGGGAGTAAACCAATGAATCAATCTCTCTCTCTCTCTGTCACTCTTTAAACAGATCCTAAAGTGTGTATATATAAAGTATATATATATATAAATCAAAGATCTAGTCTCAAATATTTTGTCAACACCGTAGACGTATATGTATATGTCCAAGTTATATTTGTTTCTAACAGTCATTTGGCAAGGTGCTTAGATACTGCCTTTTGTGCTAATAAAATACTGTGCTAAGCGAGTTCAGCTTCTTGGGCGATTGAGTTTGAAGTTGTGAATTGGGAACACAGCCCTGTGTTACGGTGCCCCACTCTCCTGAAGGGATGATGTTCCATAGAGAAGGCGAGCTTGGGCTGGTTCAGCTCACACTGTTCATTGACATGTATACTTTTTCCTATCGCTCTAAGTAATTAAACCATATATATTTCACTGTGTGTATGTGGTGGTGGCGGGAGCCGAAGAATATTTCTGATTTGCTAAAATAACGAAATTTCTCCCTTTGTAGGTATATCATGACGCCATCAAAATCCCAAAGTGGCTGCCCCTGTCAGAAATGCACCCTGTAGACTATTATTCCTCCTACACAAAAAACTGCACCGGGAAGTTTACCGAGAAGGAAATAAGGAACATTAGAGCATTTTATTACGCTATGTGTGCTGAGGCAGACGCCATGCTTGGTACGTGGTTTAACTAATAAGCAATTACCTGAAAAAACAGATCCTCTTTCACCAACAAACTATGTTTGTGCTTGTTGGTGACTTGCATGAGCAAATTCAATACCCCTTGCAACAGCAGCTTAAATGCTTCAGAGTTAGAAATCTTTCAGAATCTGGACGTGTCTAAAAGTAGGTAGCTTATGATATTAGTAGAATACAATGCCCTTTCTTAGTTATAAATGCTCATATCTCTAAGTGATCATATTTGTTCAAAAATATGATATTTTAGCAAGTGAGGCTACAAGGATGCTGTGGAGAGAAAAGGGACGAAGCACGAGAAGACCAGTTAGGAAGCAATTGCAGTTGTCCAGTTGGAAGGCTACAGTGGTCCCGCATCCACGACTCATTCCACAGAGCAGTGACTGTCAGGTTTTCACAAGACTTCAGAATCCACTGAGTTTCCTAAACCAATAAAGATTGGCACCCCAGGTGCAAGCACTGCCAACAAGGATCACCCCTGTCTCTGGACTGTGTTCTACCGGGCCTCTCGTCATTACAGTCCAGAGCAAGTTGGAGACAGAGTCGGGGACTGGTCAGAGGAACTTGACTATCCAGTTACTCTGTGGCCAAGAATGTGCCCAGTCACCCTCTGGTAGTCTCTACCCTGCCCACAGCCCAGCTCCCAGGTGCAGTTCCCATACCCCTCAGCCGAGTGCATGCCAAGTGCATGGCTCTGGTGGCTGCTTCGCCTTTGGAAGGAAGAGCAGCAGGGGAGGTGAGTTCTGCCTGCTCTTTCGATCTGCTGTGCATGGAGACTGTGTTCCAGTCTTTGTAGCACTGGAGACATGCATAAGGTGGAAGGTCAAACCCGACCTGGGCCAAAGACACCCCGACATACTGTAAAGACAGAGCAGGTAAAGCATGCTCCCCATAGGTGCCAGCGTACCTCGGGATAGTGTATTTTCTCTTCTCTCCATTGTCAACTGGCGAGCATGGATATGAGGCTTGGTAATATTCAGATGTTAAGATGAACTTCTGTAGGGCAGAGTTGTTATATACTCATGCAATAGAATAAAACATCAAGCAGTGCCCCACATCAGGGACCTGGGATGGGTGGGAGCCTGGGTGGGGTTTCTCCCTTTATCTCCCCCTTTACCCCAGATACAGAAAAATAAAATGTGGAAATAATAGTCTTATCCACTTTCCTGTAGCCCTTGAACATTTGTGCCCTAATTAACTATGTAAAGATTGTCAAAAATAAAGGGAAAAAATGAAAAAAAATCATGCAAAATGAAAAAAAAAAGCTACAAGATTTCTCTTGGTTTCTACTGCAGGTGAAATTATTTTGGCTCTTGCCCAGTTAGACCTTCTTCAGAAAACAATTGTGCTCTACACCTCAGACCATGGAGAACTGGCCATGGAACATAGGCAGTTTTACAAAATGAGCATGTATGAAGCCAGCGTCCATGTGCCACTTTTGATCATGGGACCGGGAATTCAGGCCAACCTCCAAGTCCCAGATGTGGTTTCCCTTGTGGATCTCTACCCTACCATGCTGGGTGAGTAGAGTGATTTGTAGTACTGCTGAGGATGAACAAGCAAAGGAGTCGCAGGTCCTGCTGACTGACTGATAACTTTGATTCTTTTAGCTGTGAGTCAACCCATATTCTGAAAAGCACAGAGACTCCTTCCCACCCTCCTGTGGCTTTCATTTTGCACCGTCATGTCCCCTTCCAAAGACTCAACAATCAGAATGTGACTATCAAGTAAATCACCTAAGATAAGCTTATTGGTTTCCAGAAATTATTTGTACTTCATTTGATTCTCTACCACCACCTCCGTAAAATAGAAATGTTGACTTTCTGGATTAATCTGTCTACTCTGAAACTGCTCACTTATGTCAGTGTTAGAATCCAAGGCCTTTAAACTGATCGTATGAACATAATCTCCTTTCAAGAGTGCTGTGTGTTTGCTTTAGTAGCTTCTTCATGCCTACAAGCGAAGCCACAGGACTAGAAAAGCAACCTTTGAATTTAGGTAGTTAGTGATTGCATTTGAAGATACCAGAATAATAACATCATCACACTTAAAGAAAATTATATGCAACCAACTGCCAATTTCTAATGTAGCTGAGCACTTTAAACATTAGTATTTAAAAATTAAATGATGTGTTCTAAGGCACCGGCGATTGCAGAAAGTGCCATCAATTCGTAACTTACAGTGAAAGCAGAAGGTAACAGAACACTAGATATGAGCGCACCTCAAAAAGTTCATGGAAAATTCAAAATCCATATTTTGATATCCAGATGCTTTTTTGATAGTATGCACTTTCCTGGGCTTCTTAGAGGCTTCTAGTGGGCTTAGGCATGTTGTGTACCTTTGAAAGTGTGCAAATGTGAGAGCAACATGCACCACCTTCAAGTCACAGAAGTAACAGCTCTCCGCCGACCTCTGCTGCGAAGTCCTGCCCTTCATCTCCCTAATGCATGCAAGTCAGGACCCTTTCCTTCTCTCATTTCACAACAGGTCTTGTCTATTTGAGCACACTTTTTTTTTTTTTTTTGCTTCAATGTTTTGATCTTTGTAGTTCCTGAGTCATCATTTGCTGGTTTCTCTTCAGCCCGAGGCACTTAGCCATGTCTCCCTCGCTCTCACTCCAACAGCTTCCAGCTGATTTCTTTGAACTTGCCTCATTTTCTGCTTTTTAAGGAGCATCTGAGTAACCGTGTGCATTTGTATGTGTCTCTCGTATCCTCTTTAGGGTTACAAGCAGGTACTTATCTGTGTCAGCATTTCTGTATTTCCTCCCCTAGCTTCTGCTCAATGCAGAACTCTTCCTGCCCTCCCCACTCCCCAAGAAACACCTCTTTGGGCCCCTCACATTTGCTTAACCTTGTAGGGTTGTTTTGTTTTCTTGAGCAATAGTAACTAGAACTGTAAAAAGGATCATAAAGGCTTAGGGAAAGTTGGAGTGCTGGCGCCTTGGTTTTTCTTGTGACAGACTCCGTAGTGATGTTTCCCATTTTGTGTGACTCTGGATGCTAGCAGCTTGTAGTCCACTTTCAGGGAGCAGTCTGCAATGGTCCCATTCTATTCTCACATTATCACCTTACATGGTAACTAATGTACAGATTTAAATTATTTTCCTAACACGTTGTTTCACATTTCCCCACAAAGCAAAGTCGGCAATTTGTAATCTTGAGCTACTGTTACCACTATTTGCCACTTCACCCAGCATCAAAGTTAAAGGGCACGTACAAGTGAGGAAATTTCATAACATATTTATGGAATTTCGCTGAACAGATAATATAAAAAATATTAAGTAAGAAAATACTGATTGAGATGGGGAAATTTTCATCTATGGCAGGACTGGGGATTTGGGGGCAGAGGGTGGGCAGGGGCCATCTAGATATTTACAACATCATTCACAGACCCTACAAATTATCTTTAAAAATTAACCTGCCATAGATTTATTATATTTAGCATCCCGCCTGTGATTGCATTGGCAAGGCTAGACCAAAAGGTTTCCTGGGCCTTCTATGGCCTACAGGCTGGGTGCTGCCCTTCCCCCACTCAGAGGACACCTTGTCTGTCATAAGACACTCTCAGAAACCCCATCACATCCCATCCCTGCCCCTCTGGGAACAACATCACTTCCTGCAGTTATTTTTTTTTTTTCTTTTTCTCTGTAATTTGTCAGTTTTTACCATTTTAAAAATCATACTTGGATGCAGGTTTTTATGTACTGTTACTCTTCATAGAATTCCCAGCAACAGACTTCTTTTGCATCCCGTTTCCCTGCAGAATGTAGATTAACATCATTTAAAGATCACGTGGTACTTTGACCTGCCCAGCATGAGTGAAGGAAGTTAAAGCCAAAAATAAATGCGCCTTCAATTCTGCACTGGAAACTACCTTCTCCAAAACTTACCACAGTTTATAAAATGTTTCATAAGAAATATTCTTGGGACCAGTGCTGTTGATGTGCCTTCTGCGTTGGCATCCCATACAGGTGCCAGTTTGAGTCCCAGCTGCTCCATTTCTGATCCACCTCTCTGCTAATGGCCTAGGAAAGCACCCACATGGGAGACCCAGAAGAAACTCCTGGCTCCCAGCTTCAGATCAGCTCAACTCTGTTGTGACCATTTGGGGAGAGAATCAGAGGATCAAAGGGGTTTCTCTCTCCCTGTCTCTTTCCTCTCTCAATCTTTCTCTCTGTGTAACTCTTTCAAGTAAAATAAATTTTTAATTAAAAAATCAATATTCTTTTATGATCACAAAAGGAAAAGCTGCAATTCAGTCATTTTTTAAGGGGAGAGACAGAGGAATAGAACACATGTGCCCAGATCATCATATCAGACCCTAATTTATTCTATTACTGAGATGCTAACAGAAGAAAAGGTGCGGGCCCAGTGCAATAGCCTGGTGGCTATCCCATTTGGGTACCAGTTTATATCCTGGCTGCTCCACTTCCCATCCTGCTCCCTGCTTGTGGCCTGGGAAAGCAGTGCAGGATGGCCCTAAACCTTGGGACCCTGCCCCCACAAAGGAGACCTGGAAGAAGCTCCTGGCTCCTGCCACTGGATCAGCTCAATCCACCAATTGCGGCCACTTGGGGAGTGAACCAGCAGATGGAAGATCTTTCTCTCTGTCTTCTCTGTATATCTGCCTTTCCAATAAAAAATAAAATAAATCCTTAAGCAAAGAGATAAGGTAGAAAGAGCAAACAGAAGAAAGTGTAACAAGAATGTCATATATGAACCAGACAATAACAGTATTGTCTCTTTCAAATTAACCTTTTTGTAATTTATGTAAATATAACACAATTACACTCTTCTAAATCTGTAAGAAAAAGAGAAATAATTGTAAAGAACTCAAACTTAGTAGTTGTAGAAATATTAAAATAAGAGCATAGGATTTTTCTCTCACATGCAGTGTTTACAAACATTAAAAGGAATTATAATCTTTTTATGATAGGATTATGTGCCTCTTCACAGAGTATAAGCCGACACAGATATTTCTGGAGGAATCTGGAGGCCATATTTCTTTAAAATATGCAGACATTTTGACCTAGAAACTCTAACTGCAGGAAATAACCTACTGGTGTTGTCACTTACCTTATTATAAAACTAAGTTATTATAAAACTAAGGAAGAATTAGAAGCAACATGAATGTGCACTTGTAATTGCTTGGGTAAATAATAGTGAATTCTATTTTTTAAAAGTCTAACTAATGCCTGCAAATAGTCCGTATGTATTATTAACAAGAAAATGTAAGTTCTGTCATTAGGACTTTATTTTTTTAGTTTTGCTTGTGTGTTATGGTAGGTGTCCATCTAACTTCCCCACGGGTGCTCCTGATCACAGTAAAAGAACACTATCAACCGTTACACTAGGACTCACTGGCGTACGCAAATCTGTTGCCCTAACAGCCCCAGCCAACCCAGCAAACATAATGCTCTCATGGTCCATGTTTAATTTACCGTTTAATTTATCCTTTTTCAAAGAAATCCCTTAGTTCTGGGAGAGCTTACCGCTGCCTCCGTGGTGATTAGCATTAGACCTACCTCACTTCTGTTTATAAACTAAACCCAGACATACTATGACTTAAGTACCAATATCCTCAGAAGGTGTGTGAATCAATGACCCTGGAACTCTACAGCGCCACCTGTGGGCGCTGGGTTCTATTGCACCTCCACCTAGCAAACGGCTGCCTAGTTTGAAGAGTCCAGGGAGGGGTTTTCGGGAGGGGGTAAGGGAAATCCCATGGCCTGTGGAACTGTATCATAAAATGGTAATAATATTTAAAAATGGGAAAAATATCTACAAAGAAAAGCCTTATTTTATGATTCTTCTAGCCAAATAGGAATTCAAAATAGATGTGAACCATCACCTATGTGTAGAAGTACAAGTCTCTTCACATTAGCTTACCTGTGGCTGTTTATTTGTTATAAATTCAACTTATACACAGAACATCAGATTAAACTTCTCAAGTCAGAGTCCCGGGCCAGGCTTCCTTTTCCTTTCTACTCCCTGGGTCTTAAAAATACCACAGCAAAGATGGTGACTACAAAACCCATCACTGGCTTGGAAAACCAATTGGGATTCCTACTTCACTACACCTACTTATCAACAGTGTGTTGAAATTTAAAATTTAAAATGGAACAAATGTTGAGTAACAACTATGATTATTTAAATATCGAGGACAAGAAGAACTGATGTTAACTAATATTGGATGAGCATTCTTATGGGCCAAGCAGTGCGAGCTCAAGATTTTACACAAGTTATCTTACTTAGACCTGACATGAAACTATGAGATCAAGGCAGATGAAGTTCAGAGAAGTTAATACCTTGCTCCAAGAAGCATTTGAGTCTGGCAGTCTGTTTCTAGAACCCAAGTGCCATCGGTAGTCCCTGCACCATTACTGATAGAGGGAAACATATGTGATGTCATTACGAATGTCCAACCGTGAACAGGTGCTTGCTTTGTGCTGCAGAGATCGCTGGCCTACCTCTGCCTCAGAACCTGAGCGGATACTCTTTGCTGCCGTTATCATCCGAGACACCAAGGAACAACGGCAGGTGCAAGCCCCTGCGTCCACCCTGGATTCTGAGTGAGTTCCATGGCTGTAACGTGAACGCCTCCACCTACATGCTGCGAACCAACCAATGGAAGTACATCGCCTATGCTGACGGGGTGGCAGTGTTGCCTCAGCTCTTTGGTAAGTGGGTCCATCTGGTGTTGAGTGTGATGCTTTGTGCAATGAGCTCATTGGCGTGGCCTTACTCAAGTTACCCCAGGGCCTACCTGCTGCTTTTCATGCTGGGGAAGGGTTTGCTAACGGTTGCCCGCATGAGCAGCTAGCTTCCTAGCACATGATGGTGTGGATTTTAAAGTATGCTAGGCCTTTTTGGTCCAGGTCTCATGGCTGAGACCACTGTTTTCTCTGAACAAGTGTCTGTGCTTGTCCATGGTCATCTTTGCTGAGCAGCTGTCAGCAACACCTGAAATGTGTGGGAGCCATTGTGTGCACTGCACCTAGCAGAGCAGACCAGAGCAGAACCTTGTCACTCATGCTAGGCACTGCCTGTGGAAGCTGAGCCTTCCAACATACCAGTTGCCCAAAACTCGGGATTCCCCGTGACTAATCAGAAGGGGCCCAGGATGCCTGTGCTGCCATATCATCCAAATGCCCTCTCTTAAAACCCCATCTTCGGGAAAGTGACTGCAACGACCCAGCCACTTGGCATCGTCCTTCAGGCTCTTTGTGCTGTAAAGCCCGCCTCCACAGTCAGCTCATCGGAGCCCTTTTCTAAGCCTTCCCATGAGACGTTCCTCACTCATGGCCCACTAAGTAATGGCCAGTTCAATCTTTAAATTGAATTTGTCCACTGGGTTCTGCCAAAAGCAGAGGTAACTGGCCAAGTTTAGGGAAGGAGCCAGCCCTTTCCTGTATCTCTGAGCCTTTTCACTCACACTTCCACCTGTGTCCTGCAGAGGCCTCCTGGCCAGTGCCCTCCCCTCAGCCCAGAGCGGGGCTCCCTCCACATGTGGGGTTCATTATTGCTCTGCAGGTGACTGTCACAAGATTGTTAACCTGCTGCTTTTCCCAACTGGATTGCCACCCAGGCACATCCTGTCTTCCCACTCCACGCGTGAAAGTTTGGGTTTGGACCTGAGATACTTATCACTGTTTTCTTCCTGTGAGTGATTGACATGTTTGTATTTCCAAGGACGGCTGGCTGCTCAAATGAATTCTAACACTGATGTTAACATTCAAAAATCTAAGCAGAAGGTGTTCATGCAACAAAGAAAGCCAGGGTTCTGTGAAGTTGCCAGAACATGACGTGTCTATATACAAAATTCTTAATGCTGGAGGATTTAGGGCTATGGAAATGGCAAGGCATCAAAAACGGGAAGAATTAGGTCCAAACCAGCTTCTTAATGTGGGGATTTCATTGTTTCTAGCATCTAAGATTTGTTAATGACAGTAAGAAGATAATTTGGGCATATATTTCAGGGCTGATTAATTTGGGGCATCACTATATTATTTTTTCATATATACTCTATATTAACTTTATATAAATACACTATATATAAATTCTCTTATTAGCTTTAGGTATTGTTCCAGTTTTAGTATATGTGCTGCCAAAACAAGCACTGACTTTTGGTATAATTATATTAGTTTATCACACATTCTATTCTTCAGTTTACTAAAAGAAATAGGAATAGAAATAAAAACTGGGAGCACAACAACAGTAGCGCAGTGGATTAAGCCGCTGCCTAGGATGCCCACATCCCATAGTGGAGTCAGTTCCAGCTCATCTGCTGCCAATTCTGCTTCCCCATAACGCACCCAGGAAGGCAGTGGGCAATGGCGAAACTATTTGTGTCCCTGTCACCCATGTGGGAAACTTGGATGGAGTTTCAGGTCCCTGGTTTCAGCCTGGTCCCTCTCTGGTTATTGCAGCCATTTGAAGAATGAACCAGCACATGAATATGTCTCTTTCTCTCCCCCACCAGATAAATAGATAGATAGATAGATAGATAGATAGATAGATAGATAGATAGATAGATAGACAGATATAGATAGATACAGATATAGAGAGGTATATCATCTTTCATATAAATGGTACTGGTCTAATGATATCCTAAAAGTCCTTTAGAGCAGGTAACTATTTGCCACACCTTCTTCTTTCAGATCTCTTCTCCGATCCCGATGAACTAACCAATGTTGCTACAAAATTTCCAGAAATCACTTCTTCTTTGGATCAGAAGCTTCGTTCCATCATAAACTACCCCAGAGTTTCTGCTTCCGTCCACCAGTACAACAAAGAGCAGTTTATCTGGTGGAAGCAAAGCATAGGGCAGAATTACTCCGACGTGATCGCTAACCTCAGGTGGCACCAGGACTGGCTGAAAAAACCAAGGAAGTATGAACGTGCAATCGACCGGTGGCTAAAACCTACAGCAACCCAAAAACCCCTGAAACAAAATTGAGAAAATAATGTTCCAAACCTACATGGAAATATGTTAAGATATCATGATTTTTAAAATATTTTATTTGAAGCATTTTCAATAATTACTGCATTAAGGATGCTTTTATGCTTTAAAATGCCAATGATTAATCACATCTTTCCAAAAAAATTGTTATTAAGACCGATTGTCACCAAGTTCCATCAAGTTCATGGAAGCACAGAGAGAATCAGAACAAATTTTATAATATAAAGGTTGTGTTCCTTGAATAATACAGAATATAAACTATTTTTTAAAGATTTATTTATTTTTATTGCAAAGTCAGCTATACAGAGAGGAGGAGAGACAGAGAAGATCTTCCATTTGCTAATTTACTCCCCAAGTGGCTGCAATGCCAGAGCTGAGCCGATCGAAAGCCTCTTCTGGGTCTCCTACACGGGTGCAGGGTCCCAAGGCTTTGGGCCATCCTGCACTGCTTTCCCACGCCACAAGCAGGGAGCTGGATGGGAAGCAGGGCCGCTGGGATATGAACCAGCACTGATATGGGATCCCGGTGTGTGCAAGGTTTAGCAGCTAGAGTACTGCACAGGCCAGGATACAAACTATTTCATTACTTAGGAGCTATAAAATAGTTCTGTGTGAGTATCTGATGGTGTCTGGTGAGTTACTAGGATCTGCTGGGACCATGTGGATGTTCTGATGGGAGTTTTTGGAACATTTCATTTCTGTTTTTAAAAGGCAGATAATGCAGGCACAAGGTAAAGGCTGCCAACAGAACAGAGGCGTTGCCAGCAGGAAGTCTCCCTTCTTCCCCTTCTCCTGCCACCCAATTGCTCTTCTGACAGACGATTCCAGGAGGTACCTTCTCCAGTATCCCTCCAGAGACTGGCCGCACCCTCTGCGAACCACAGAGGTGTCGGTACTTCCCCGCACACAGAGGGGAGCGTGCCAACCACACTGCTCTCCATCCGTGGCTGCTGCTTACTCTCACTCATGAGCAGACGCCTAGAACTCAGACTGCTCCAGGCCCTCCCACGGACCTCTGCAGAAGTGGTACTCATTGGTATTTCCACCAGCAGCGCCTGTCCTCACGTCCTACACCACAATAATCAATAAAAGCTCTTCTTTTTATCTTAAGTACCACAGACCCTGCACATACTTCACAGTGGCTGAAATTTGCCTTTTCTAGTTCTTGCCTATTTTCCTGCTGATTTTTGATATTTTTTAAATTACAGGCATGCCTTAGATATTAACTGTTTATAAGAGATCCTATAGGGGAAATCCAGGAGCCTATGGAACTGTATCATAAAATAATAATTATAATAAAAGAAAATGTTTAAAAAGAGATCCTGTAAATATTTTTCCTGGCCTGTCACTAGCATTTTTCCTTTGACTTTGTCCTGCTTGTTTTTAACATACAGAAATTTATATTTTCATATATTCAAACTTATGAATCTTTGTACCCCAAAAGTATACATGGAAGTTTTAGAAAGTTAAAAGAAAAAAAACAGAATTAAAAGATAATGCACAGTTTTCATGAACTTTCTGAACTACCCTCATATTCAATTATGATTTGTGAATTTACACAATATTAATTTTAAAAAAACTACACATTGTATTCTTTTGTAGTTTTGGGATTGTGTCTTATTTGGACTGGTCCCTCCCATTCATTTTCCTCTAGAGTTTTGATTTTTCACTCTTCAAACTTGGACGTAACTAAAACAATTCACACATCAGACATACAACTATAGCATGCTTCTTAAATGGCTACCTTACTGACACTTTCTTAAGAACTGTCTTGTCCCAGTGGTTACAAATGTCATTTAGTTACATGGCCCCTTTGGTTGAATAAATTATCCTTTCCTCCATCTTGTTGTTTACCCAAAAGTTCCGCCCTTTTCTGGGAATTTTTCTGCACTATTTGATTTATTAATTTGGCTATCAGTTTTCTGGTAGGACTTGTCCTCAGACAAGAGCTTGCTTTTTCAGAATTAGCCTAGCTACTCTTGTTCTTTTTACAGTACAAATATAAAGTATATCTTGATATAAAAATGAAAAATCCTTAGTCTTTTCTATGAAATCATTACACTTAGAGCCTCATTTAGAGAGACTCAAATTCCTTGTTCCAAAGAACACAGCCTGCTGCTCTCTCTGTTCAAGTCTTTTTCTTTCCCTCAGCTCCTCCCTAGAGACTTTTGCAAAGTAAGGCTGGTTAAAAAAAAAAAAAAATCCCACCTAGGTCCCATTGCATTCTAAGAGGATTAGAACTTGCAGGAAGGAGCCTGGGCCTGGCTTCACCATGGCCTTTGTTGAGCCCTCCAGCCCATGATCCTGGCGTGCAGCTCCAGGTGACTTTGTTCCCAGTTGGTTTATCCTTTATTGTAGTTGTCATTTAAGTGAGTCCTTCATTTTGCCTGATAGCTTGTTGTCATAAAGTAAGGTTTAAAAAGGCAGTACTAATGATAGTATGCTTCTGAAAACACAGCTTTTGGGAGATAAATATATTCACCCTTTTCTACCCAAAGCCTCAAGAACCTGCCAAGCATCCTTGCTATCTTTGGATTTTTACACACTACTGACTTACTTGAAAGGCAGAGTGACAGAGGGAGAAAAAAAAAATCTTTCCCCCATTGGTTCACTCCCCAAATGGCCATAACAGCTGATGAATCTGGGCCAACCCAAAGCCACAAGCCAAGAATTGCATCCGTGTCTGCAATACAAAAGGTCCAAGGACATAAGAACTTGAACGATCTTCCACTGAGTTCCTAGTCTTATTAGCAAGGAGCTTGATCAGAAGCAGAACAGCAGGCCTGGCACAATAGCCCAATGGCTAAATCCTTGCCTTGCATATGCCAGGTTCCAATATGGAACTGCTCTACTTCCCATCCAGCTCTCTGCTGGTGGCCTGCGAGGGCAGCAGAGAATGACTCAAGGCTTTGGGACCCTGTACCCACATGACAGATCTGGAAGAAGCTCCTGGCTCCTGGCTTCAAATCAGCTCAGCTCTGGTCGTTGCAGCCACTTAGGGAGTGGACCAGTGAATGGAAGGCCTTTCTCTCTGCCACTCCTTCTCTGTAAATCTGCCTTCTCAATAAAAAATGAAATAGATCTTTTTAAAAAAATAAATAACAATATTCTCTCTCTCTCTGTTTCTTTCTCTCTCTCTCATCTCCACAGCAGACACTTCAATAAGGCATGGCCTTTTGTACATTTTGTTCCCTGAAAGTACCTGGTACCCAGCCGAAATTTAATAAATACATGTTTAATGAATTCATTGGGAAACAGAGATTTTAGATTTCCCACTGATGGAGTAAACCAACACATCAGGCCGTGGAGAGGGAGCAAAGGCGAGTAGCTCTCAAAACACTGAGCTTTCCGCAATTTCTAGCAGAAGCTTGCTTTTACAGAAGCGCTGACAAATGAGCTATCACTCTTCTGTCTCTGTAAAAAAGACAAGCTGCTAAATAGTTTAGGAATCTAGAGGAAAACATGAGCGATGTATACTCACAGATACAGCAATAAAGATTACAGAAAAGAATAAACAGATCTACTAGAAATGCTTTTGTAGGTGAAGAATTTAATTGCCCTATTAAAATAACACAGAAGATGAATTAGTGGACTTGAATATGGACATTTTTCAAAAAAAATCTAGACTTTTTAAAAAGATTTATGTGTTTATTGATTTGAAAGGCAGAGTAACAGAAAAGGAGAAATAGAGAAACATCTTTCTTCCACTGGTTCACTCCCCTAGACGGCTGTAGCAGCAATAGAATTAATAGCTAGCTACAAAGAGCAATGCCACACTACAGAGGAACTTTAAAAACATGCTGGAACCAGAATGGTGGCTCAGTGGGTTAGCATAACACCTGCATCCCACCATGTCAGAAAGCCTGTTCAATCCTAGCTGCTTGGCTCCCATTCGGTCTTCCTGTTAGCACTCCTGGGAAAGCAGCAGCAGTACCTGGGCCCCAGTCACCCACATGGGAGATCAGAGTGTAGTTGCTGGCTCCTGGCTCCAGCCTGGCTCCTTAGGGAGTTAACAAGTGAAAGGAAGATCTCTCCTTCTCACTCTGCCTTTCAATAAAAAATATATTTTTTAAAATATAGTATTCTATGAGGGCAGACACACACATTTATATAAACACAATCACACACAAGAGTTGTATGATTTTATTAAATGTGCAGAATAAGCAAATCCAGAGTAAAAGCAGTGTTTCTAGGCAGTTGGAGGAGAAGAGAATGGGTATGGAGAGAGGAGACACAGAGAAAGACCTTCCGTCTGCTGGCTCACTCCCCAAATGGCCGCAATGAGCAGAGCTGAGCTGATCCACAGCCAGGAGCCAGGAGCTTGTCTCCAGACTGCCTATGCAGGTGCAGCAGCCCAAAGACTGGGACCATCATCTGCTGCTTTCCCAGGCCTAAGCAGGGAACTGGATTGGAAGTAGAATTGCTGGGACTCGAAATGGTACCCATATTGAACACCAGTACTGCGAGGAGGAGGATTAGCCTACAGGCTGGGGACTAGCCACTGCATCCCTGCTGTAGCAATTCTAACTGGAGGACTTTCTTGGAAGAGAATAATCATTATCTGTACGCAAGGATGCATGTGAAGAGCTATCCGCTATAGAGTTATTTATAAAGTGAGCTGTAGAAAACTTCTGCCCAAAACATAAACAGAGGATAATTAGGCAGCAGGCCTGGAGAAAAATTGGCTCTAAACAGAGAAAAATGGAGTTATTTGGTAAAGAGATTTCTACGAAAAAAAAAAAATCAGAAGCTAGACTGTATTGTGAAACTGACCTTATAGAAATTGTACAGGAAGATCATTTGAAGGAAGGAATCAGCTACAGTAACAATGAAAATTAAAAAAAAGCAACTATTAACTTTTTAAAAGAAAAGAAGATGATATTCATAATACAACACTGAGCAGAGAATACTTTGATTCATAATAATGTAACTACTGAATGAATATAGGTTTATCCAAAAACTACAGGATTTACATACATACAGGATGGGAAAGGAGACAAAGGTGCTAACAGCCAAACCTTTCCCTAGTAAGGCTGCTGAATTAATGAATAGCTCTACACACTTACTACTGACAATTGTGGAATTAAATGAATGTCAGAAAACCAGCAAATTGAATCTAAATGCAGAAGACACCTGTGGAACAAAGCGTGATCTACACTCAGCCGTCTAGTTCTGTTTTCTTTCAAAACTGTGGGCAGGCATCATTTTTTATAAGAATTAGTTGTCAAATCAAGGTTTTATCAGGCATTAGTAAAGCTTACTGTAGGTTTTGTAGAGTGTCATTTCGCTGGTAGATTTTTTTTTTTTTTTGCTTTGTAACACACAGAAGCATTTTAACAAATCTGTGACAAACTGTAGAATTGTTTTGAGACCACTGAGTTGATACTGGCTAGGAGAATCATTGAATGACTCCTGGTCCATTTTTCTTAGACGCTGGTCGCATAGTCAAAATGGGAATTTCTCACTACGTTATTTGAAATGTGTCATATAGTAATTAATTCACCGAATCAATTACCATGTAGCAGGCCTAGTACACAGCACTGGAGATACGATGATAATAATAAAGATGATGACAACAGAGATGGTGAAGAGGAAGAAGAAAATGCCAAGAGTCATGGTAAAAAGACAACAACTTGGAAAATGGGATCCTAACAGCAACCAGCAGGGTAAACATCTGTACCCCTCAAACCTCTCATACCAGGCAACTGAATTTCCAAATGTTTCCTAAGTCTGGGAGTGTAAGCTGCAACAGATGTCACACCTCCTGGGGGAGGGACTCAGCAGACACCCAGCCTTCCAGGGGTGGGAACCCTGCAGAGGCCACGCCTCCAGTAGGTGGGAACCCTGTAGAGGCCACGCCTCCAGTAGGTGGGAACCCTGCAGACTGCCACACTTCCTGGGAGTGGGAACTCGTGCAGACTTCTCACCGCCCCGGCAGGAAGCAGAGCAAATTCTGCCTTTACCTTGACTTATGCTGTATGGGGTGCGCGTGAGGTGTGGGTGTTTGTAGGGGGGTGGTGCATAAAAGGTAAATTGATGCTCCCAACAGGAAAACAAAAATATGTCAGTGAGGAAGTAGGACTGCAACAAAAGCAGAAGAATTTCATTAAAGCCATTTCCAGCGACTTGGGCTTTTTTTTTTTTTTTTTTTTTTACTTTAAAAAATAAAAAGTTGGCCGTCATCATGTTCTTAGTCACCTATTCTCAAGGTTGATTGGAGGCGTCGTTGCTTCTCGCAGCCTCCCATCTGCTGGAAAACAGAAGCAGCAGCAGGAGGGGCCTTGCTAGCACAATCCCCCCTCCCCAGGTGAGAATGTGAGGGGAGAAGCAAACAATGCAGCGAACCTACAGAGACCCAGTCATCTACCCTAAACACCCTGCAAGGCGCCGCCGCCCCCAAGCTCCAGCCTGCGACCCTGAATCCAGTCCTCGCCCACTAAAACTCACTACCAGACAAGAGGAGGGCGTGGCACTAGCTGGTGGTCTTTCTCTCTGTTCACTTCGAAATTAGGGTTCCCAGGATCTGTCTGTCTTACGAAAGGGCTGATCCTTAACATCTCAAACTTTTTATTTACTTAAAGTCAAAGCTAGCATCTTCGCGAGTTTTGCTCCTGGCGATCCTCCCGTGCGTTGGCGCGCAGGGACGATAGGAGCCTTTTCAACCGGCCCAGCGAGCCGCCTAGTTGCCCGCCTCTGCGCTCTGAGCGTGAGGCGGCCAGACCTGAAAACCCGCCACTCGCTGGCTGGCAGCCTGGGGTTCCGCCACACCGGTGGCAGCGGCGACGACGGATATGGGAAGGAGATTGACCAGGATCCGCAGGCAAGACGTGGAGGTAGAGAATGGGGATCGCGCGTGCTCCTCGAGTGTACAACCCACGTTTGAGTGACAGACAACGAACGCCAACTACAGGAACAACTGAGTGTTCGAACTCGTCTCCCTCTCCACGCCAGCGCTTTTCCAACTAACTTTGGGAACTCTAGGACTCTGCGCCAACTCGTCGCCACTTGGGTTGGCCCCCCCGCCCAGAGCACCTCGGCCGAACCAAGGATGGAGAACCCCTTCCTTCCCTCCACTCTGCCGCCAGCACCCAACCTCTCCGTGCCCAATTCACCGGACTGGACTCTCAACCTGACGGCCGGGCAGGCGGCCCCAGCTCCGGGGCCACCACCGCCAACACCACCTCCAACGCCTGGAATCTCCAGCCGCCGCGTCCGCCTGGTCTTGCTGGGAGCCATTCTGGTGGTGGCGGTGGCCGGTAACACCACAGTGCTATGGCGCTTGTGTGGTGGCGGCAGCGGTCCCTGGGCGGGTCCCAAGCGCCGCAAGATGGATTTCTTGCTGGTGCAACTAGCCCTGGCCGACCTGTACGCGTGTGGGGGTGCAGTGCTGGCACGGCTGGTCTGGGAACTACTGGGCGGTCCCCGCCCGACCACCGGAGACCTGTCCTGCCGCTTCGTGCACCTGCTGCAGGCGTCCGGCCGCGGCGCCTCGGCCCACCTCGTGGCCCTGATTGCCCTCGAGCGCCAGCGCGCCGTGCGCCAACCACAGGGTCCGCCACTGGCCGCACGAGCCTTCGCCATCCTGGGCTGGCTGCTGGCGCTGCTGCTGGCACTGCCCGCGGCCTTCGTGGTGCGCGCGAGCGACCCCTCGCCCAGGCCAGCCCCCTCGGCGTCCCCAGACACCCGTGCCCGGATCGGAGTGCATCGTTGCCACGGCATCTTCACGGTCTTGCCGCGTTGGCACCTGCAGGTCTACGCGCTCTATGAGGCTGTCGTGGGCTTCGTGGCGCCCGTCGCGGTTATGGGCATCGCCTGCGGCCGCCTGCTACACGTCTGGCGACAGCGCCAGTCCCAGGCCCCAGCAGCGGCGGCAGTGCCCTGGTCAGCGAGCCCGGCCCGAGTCCCCGTACCCAACACACTGCCCCGCGCCAAGGTGCAGAGCCTGAAGATGAGCCTGGCACTAGCGCTGCTGTTTGCCGGCTGCGAGCTGCCCTACTTCGCAGCCCGGCTTGCAGCCGCTTGGTCAGCCCAACCCACCGGAGACTGGGAGGGTGAGGGTCTGGCAGCGATGCTGCGAGTCCTGGGAGCGGCCACTAGCGCCCTCAATCCCTTTGTCTACCTCTTCTTCCAGGCAGAGGACGGCCAGCTCCGGCGGCGGCTACGGAGACGCCTGGGCGCCGTCTGCGGCGCACGGGAAGCCGTCTTGGAGGAGAGCGAGGATGCCCACGGCCACCAGGCACTCCACCGCCACCGCTGGCCGCACCCGCACTATCACCACGCCCGCCGGGCGCAGGCGGACGAGGGCTGCGGCCGCCCACCCCCGCCGCGCCCCAGGCCGCTGCCCTGCTCCTGCGAAAGCGCCTTCTAGCGCCAGGCACAGGGCTGTCGCGGTCACTGTGGGCGGGGGGGGGGGGGTGGGTGGGCAGGGACACTGGAGCTCCATCTCCTTTTACCCTCCCCCCACCCCCGCCCCGTGCTCCTTGCTCTTTGCTCAGCGCTCCCCTTCTGTTTCTTGTGATGTTTCCGTGTTCATACCCATTTCCAGTTAGAGAACGCAAGCAAGCGAGACTCCTCCCCGTGGGGAAGCTGTAAACGTGGAACCTAAGAGTTACTGCTTCTGCAGTTCTCCTTCAGGTGCCCACGGGGTCCTGAATAGGACCACTTATTGGAGCGAAATTGCCAGCCTTTTATTTTCTGCTCTTGCCGAATGCCAGTGGACCTGCAGAGACAGCCAGGCTGTTTCCAGCAGGAAAAACCTCACGTTGCTCTCCCAGGAGAGACCAGGAGCCCTTCCAGTAAATGCTTTCAGAAATGTAATCATGCTGTCACTGCACACACAAGGTTTTTGTAAAATAAAAACATTACCCATGCAGCAATTTGCATCTTTAAAAAAAAAACAGGAGGATATGTTTTTTCAGGAAAAAAAAAGTCTCAGTGGTCCTTTTTCCCAGTCTAGCTTCCACTTGGGAAGAAGCTGGGAGAGGGCGGGATTAAGACAGCAACATGAAAGCTGCCCTTAATCCCTCTGAAATGTCTGATTTCTGCCCAGTGCACAACATCCAAAGGTGCCAAGTTGAACCCAGTCAGTGCACAGACTGCAGAAGGGGAAGCCCTGGGTGGAGACCCCCATCCAGTGTGCAGCCTGGGAGACACGCGTAGCAAGGTGGGACCTGGGCACATGCATGCTGACCTGGCACTCCCGTCTAGAAAATGAATTTGATGCCGGTTGGTGTGGGTGGCTGAGAACAAAGCTAAGGGGCAGAGGGGATCTGTGGTGTCCTCTTAACTGCCCTTGGTCCTAGAAAGAAGTGGCAGCAATAATGAATTGAATGTATTATCCATGTGTTGATTTTCCAAGTCAGCAGCATTTACAGATGATATAACCAGATGCTGACCAAGGGCTTTAATCTAAGGATCTGGTCACACACATAAAAAAGGACAGGACTGGGATGCAGACAGGTTTGAGCTCACTGGCAGAGCCAGAGCAATCTGCTCTGTTCAATTGGTATGTCTTGAATGCTTAAGCAGTGCTTGACATATGAACTCAACACACACTTGAACTTCTCATTGCATGGGTCAGCACATCTATCAGGTGTGGGTAGAATAGAGACAGACAAGAGGAACTCTAAGTGGGACTTACCATTCATCATGATTTTGATAAAAGAGTTACAAGTTTTCCTTCTTACTTTTGCTTCCCCACTTCCCTGCTGAGGATGCTATGGCCTGCAAAATACCAAGAATTAATAAGTCAGACAAAGAAAGTAAACTCTTGTCTGGGTGAGTGTATTATTTTATTCATTAATAAACACTGATTGCATGCTTATTTTTTGCCAGCTTTTAAATGCAAGGCATTGGAGATGCTAAGCTAAGGCAGACACATTATCCCCTCAAAGATTTTACAGGCAGATATAGGCAACCATCTGACAATTGCACTGCAGGGACCCAAGCACTTCAAGAGGTGATCCAGTGGCTGGTATTGTTATTGTGGCTGAGTACAGAATGCAGCTGCCATGCCAGCATCCCATATGGACGTGGGTTCGTATCCCAACTGCTCCACTTCCAATCCAGCTCCTTGCTAATGCCCTGGAAAAAGCAGATGGTGGCTTACAAGTGTGTGGACCCCTGCTACCCACGTGGGAGATCAGGAAGAAGTGCCTGGCTCCTGGCTTCAGCTTGACCCAGCCTATGCCATTGTGTCCAAGTTGGGAGTGAACCAGCAGATGGAAGATCTCCCTTCATGTCTGTCTCTCCCTCTCTGCCTTTCAAATAAATTAAAAAAAAAAAAAGAGAGGTCCAGCCAGGACATCAGGACACTAACGAGGAGGCGCCTGTGACAAGCTTGGGTAGGTGGGGAACTCAGAAGGGTTCACATTGGGTGTGACCCATGGGGAGGGGAAGCCAGGAGAACACCATTGCACTTAGAAAACATACAGGTGCCAGAGGACATGCTGATCAAGCAATGCCATCAGCTGAGATGCCTAGCATCAGGGTGCCTGGGGGGGGGACCATGGGTCAGGGAAGAACAGTTTCTGAGCCAGGCCAACACACAACCAGGATGTAGCTTTTGGTTTAATCAGAGTGCTAACAAGATCAAGTGTGAAGCTTGGAGAGGTCATCTTAACCATGACATGAAGCAGCAATGGATTGAAAGGGTGAGTGTGCCAAGAGGTAGGGACCAAGGCAAATGCTCAGAGGGCCCTCAGGATAGGACTGGCAATAGTAGCCCACTTGGGATTTGTGCCACTGACATGGAAGATTGGAGCCAGCTGAGTTGGGTTTTCTGTTAGGTGTAGTTGAGGTCACCTTAACAGGCAAACTTAGCTCACTGAAATTTACTCTTTTACCTAACAAGAAGTTCAGTGCTGAGAAGGTGCCACAACAGTTCAATGGAGTAGCTCAACTTCCTAGTTCAAGGGCTGTGATGAGTAATTTTGGGGGATCAACTGAACTGTGTGAAGGAATACCCAGACAGTTGGGAAAATGTTACTTCTGGGGTTCTTGCGAGGGCGTTTCCAGCAGATGCTCACCTGTCAGCAGACCATATCAAGAAGATGCCCCTGCCAGTGGTGGCATGCCCAAAGGCCAAGAGGTGTCGCTACTCTCTCTGCTTCGGCAGGAACACCCATTTTCTAATGCCCTTGGGTTTTTGTGTTTCGTTCTCAGCACCAGCATCTCAGCTCCCTGCTGTTCCGGCCTTCTTCAGGCTGGGACTGATTTGGGCCACCAGCTTTGCTGACAGCATGTTGTGAGACTTGTCAGCCTGCCTAACTGCACACACCAGTTCCCATACTGGTGTCCTCTGGCACCTGCACATTCACGATTGGTGACCAGTACAGAGATTCGGGCCCATTGTATGTTTCTAGTCTACCATCCTGGTGGCTGCATTTGACCTTCAGGCCTGTTCTCTTTGAGATCACAAAGTGATTGCTGCAGTTCTGGCAATCACAATCAATGTCCAGGAAGGAGCACATTGTCTTCTTTTTATACTTTTCATAAGAGTGAAGAAGCATTTCTCCCAAATCCCCAGCCGATTTTTTTCCTACACTATTCATTGACCAGATCGTCCCATTTGTCCATGTCTGAACCAGATATTGTAACAGAAATGGAGCCACCATGATTAGCTTAGACATGAACCTGCAGACATGAAGTGATTAGGGTAGCAAGGGGACAAATTGGGAAACATGAAGCTCCACAGGATAGAAAGAAGAGGAAATGCTTCTAGATAGGCTGACCCCACCTTCCAGAAGCTGCCAAAGTGCCCAAGGGACTGATTTTCCCCCATTAATGGGCTTTCCAGCTGATTGACAGCTTGGCACTTCGGGAATTCTCCAGCTACACTGGAAACACTAAATGCCACCTCATGAAGTTGTCTCAGAGAGCTGGCATTGTGGCATGGAGGGTTAAGCCACTGCCTGCAAAGCCTGCAGCTGACATGAATGCTGGTTTGAGTCACAGCTGCTCCACGTCTGACCCAGATCCCTGCTATAGTGCTTGGGAAAGTCATCGGAGGATGGCCCACGTGCTCAGGTCCCTGCCACTTACATAGGAGACCCGGATGGAGTTCCAGGCTTCTGGCCTCAGACTGGCCCAGCGTCTGACTAGGACAGGCACTTGGGAAGCAAATCAGCAGATGAAGGGCCCTCTTTTCTCTCCGTCTCTTCCTCTTTCTCTCTAACAGACTCCCAGGCTCCCTTTCAAACAGTTTTTGTGAAGATTTAGGTAAGCCAAATTGCAGAAATGCTTCTGTAACTCTGTTTTCACCAGATATGAAATATGAAGTAGAGTCAAGTGATTCGGTTTCCATCTCTGATGTCATGATAGGAAATTTGAAGCATCCCCTCGGATGGGTCACCCTGTTGGCATTGCTCCCAAGAATCCATGCACCTCAGGCCAATCCACAGATCAAGCTGGACCCCAGTCAGGGAGAGCTTTGCATTCACTTGGATGCAGCTCCTTGCTGGAGTAGGACACACAGCAAGGACAAAGCAGCAGGGACTCTGGCTTCTAGGTGACCCCTCCCCGCAAATAGGCAATGGCAAGAGGACAGACCAAGCCCCGCAGAGCTGCAGATTGGAAAGAAGCAAAAGGGTCCTTGGAAAAGAGAAACACTGACTCACAGTGCACTCACCTTGGGGTGAATGTTAAACATGCAGGACCCTGGGGTGGGCACCCAAGAGGGGAGCCTGGGAACACGACTGCCGAAGGCAAGCAGCATGGCACTCCCCATTTCAGTAGGCCTTTAAAGGCCACACACAAATAATTACATAGCTTTAAAAAAAAGATTAGCTGTCCACTAAGAAATAGCTAGACTAAGTCGGCATGATCTATGATGTAATTTGGGACAGCAAACATATAGGAAACAGCCAAGAACATCGCTCAGTAAGCCACAACTAGTGACTAACTGCAAATCATATACTAAAAATAGCACAGCCCAGCTTGTTTGCGGAAGACTAGACAGACTGCATTTTTCTTTTTCCTAAGTCACTTCCTAGGAAATGCAGAAGTTTCCATTTCAAAAAATGCTCTGACTTGATCAGAGGTGAAATATTAAAATAAAGTGAAGGTTTCTGGTTACAACTAAACATCTGTTTGTCCGGAGGCTGTGTAACAGGGTGGAACACGCAGACTTCAGAGTCTAGAGAGCTGAACTTGACCTTCATCTCTATATGTAGTGGTGGTGGGACTTCAGCAATTTGCTATTTTTCTTTTTTATTTAAAAATGTTATTGGAAAGGCAGATTTTACAAAGAGAAGGACAGAAATGGAGAAGGATCTTCCATCTGCTGGTTCATTACCCAAATGGCCACAACAGCTGAACTGAGCTGATCCAAAGCCAGGAGCCAGGAGCTTCTTCCAGCTCTCCCATGCA